ATGTGTTCTCTGCTATGATATTTCAGTACGCAATGTAAGAACCACAATCCAATATAGAGTTACGCATCAATAGCTTTCTATGGGCTTGAGTTTGGCTTGTTGGTTCATAGCTCTATGGTAAATGTTCTTATAATCCCACATAAACAGACCAAGACACAATTTTCGAATGCAGGAAATATTCCAAAGGAGGCTAAGACCTCCCACTGACCATTTTCAAAAATTTACTTACCCTTTATCTAACACAGGGAATGTTGCAGGGAAAGGGTGAGAGGCCAGGGTGCCAAATAAGACTAATTAGCTAAAAGTGAAAATGCAAGACTGAGAAAAGACTCATAAGGAATGTAAACTACATGGGGAGGGAGGTCTGTAGGTGTCAATCAATAACAAAATGCAAACTGTCAAAGCTTGCTTTGCTAACAAACTGTCACATCAACAATATGCAGTTAATGACTACAAATTAACTGTATACCAGATGCTTGACACTTTGTTATGACACTTAGCAAGCTAGTTGACATTTGGGGGGGATCAAAGCTTCATTAATTATACTTTGTATAACATGTACAACCTTTATGCTAATGTCCAAATATTCCTTAAAGTGAGGCTGTACAAGTGGCAAAGGCAGGTTCTGTCGCTTTCAAACACTCTTGCAGGATGTATGCTTGAGGATAAAATCCAAAAGTGGTTATTCAGTGTTATCACCAAGTCTAAAATAATTTTCCCCTTTATTTTAATGCACCGAATTAACAGTGCTCTCCTCCTCAGTTACAGATGCACCATGTGTGAAATAATGCAGTTACTAGCCATGGAAAGGCCTAAATATGATATACTTCTAAAGCAAAACTTTCAGGAAAACAGCACCCATGGTACACATGTATCAAAGACATATAAATAAAGTGCAAGTTTCATGAAAGTTCTTGCTTAAACAAAGTGCATTCCCCACAAAGGAGACATATAGGTAAGGACAGGTAAGGATACCCACATCAGTAGCGCCATCTTCATTAATAGTGATAGTTAACATTAGATAAAGTCTCCTAACAATGTGAAATCAACACTTGTTTACACTTTCAGTAGTTAGATGAAAAGCTGGGAATTACCTTCCAAGCTCTGAATGCAGTTTGCAGGCTCTAGTAATTAACAAACAGATTCGCAGGTGAAAACTAATATTTGTCCGTATTAAGTGATGTATACAGTGGTCATGTTGGCCACATGACCCAGAAGCTGTACGCCGGCTCCTTCGGCCAATAAAACGAGATGAGCGCCGCAACCCCAGAGTCAGCCACGACTGGACCTAATGGTCAGGGGTCCCTTTACCTTACAGTAACCTTAACCATCAGAATATCATGGAGATGTAGCAAATTAACCACAGTCTCCCCATACACACACATTTAAACATCTAATAATAATGTTTCACATGTAAGTGGAATTTATTGTACTATTTCAGAGATATCCAAGTATAAATGAGGTGCATTTTCACAGTGACCCAGTAACAATGATTATCCTGCACATTTTTAATTCACATTATTTTGGTATGTAGGCCAAAGTAATTGTTTACTATTACTATTATTGGATTCTTTCATTAGCAGTACACTCATACTTAGAATTGTTATTTTAAAGATATGCTATACAGTACAACTAACATGTCTATTAGAATTTATTTTTTGTAAAGTATATTACAGCATATTTTACACCAAGTGTATGAATTAAATGTTCTGTTAATTCTAAACATTTGTCAAGAAAAGTACCGTATTCTGTGGAGAAAAATCTAACAATGATTAGAAATACACAAGTATGGGGAAAGGGTTTTTCCCCTTGATTAGAATTCATTTTCCTAATATACCAATTTCTAAAGACAGCTCTATTTTAGTTCTCTTAAGCATGAAAAAGGCATATGCTCAATCAAATCTGAATCTGAAATTAACCTGTCACTTTTAGACACCACATTTTAGAGGTGAATAAAAAACAGTTCTTCCTTTTAAAAGTTTTTAGTATTGAAGAAATAGCTAATAGTCTATAAGAAATGTAAAATTTTACAACAATCTTGCTATTAACATTCATAAAATTATTTCTACCTAACAAAAATGAAAGAAATCTGGTGAGCCATTCCTGGGGAGGAAACAGGAAATCCTGCTTTTTGCCCCAATGAATGTTATGCACAGACCACTAATAAGTAAGGAATTCCTGCAGTTTACAGAATTCCCATTACCAACCTGATAGACTCTGGATACAAGATATTAAAGACTACATGTAACAAACTGAAGTAAGTCCATGTACATCCTACAAGTTTATTGTCAGAGAGATCAGCTACTTATCTCTATTAACTGAGCAGGTGGTGACAAATCTGGGTTTGCTGCCATGTAATATCTGAGATGGTTCAAGGTGGCTACACTTCGACTGGTATAACCAAATTATTTGGAGGCTGTCTCATCCCATGTCCTTGAGATTATGAAATATTAAATCATAGTCACTCTTCCTCAGTTCTTGGAACTCCTTTCCATAGGGCAGAGGTTTTCAACCTTTCTGAGCCCACAGCTCCTTTGACGAGCTCATTGTTCTTATCCCGTGCTTTGCATAGCATCTTGCCCAAGCAAGAATTCTGGAGAATGTGAAACTTGCCACAATTCTGTGACGTTTTCGCTGGTTCCAATAAAGATTTGGCCCAAGTGTAAATTATCATGTGGGTTTTTCTATGCAAAACAATGCTGAGCATTCCAAAAAAACAAATATCTAACTCGGTAATTTTGGTCTGGGTCTTCTAACACAACTGTTGTCTTCACAGCAAAAACAAGCCATGTGGAACACTGCTCTATGCACCTTCACTACTTCACAACTGCCTCATTTTCTGCTCCCCACCTGAGTTATAAGTATCATTAGAACAGTATTTTAATTGTTCTTGTTATCCATTTTCTGTTTCTTGACTGTACACCCCAGTGTATCTTCAATTAAAAGCATACACCTGATGTGGTCTGTGTGGTGCATTATATAATGGCAAGATGTTGAGGGGGTAGCTTCTTCCTTTTCCTACCACTGGGAAGCAGCTGGTCTGTGGAAAAGGAACCAGCAGCTTGTGGAATGACAGCTGGCAGAGACAGCTCAAACATCTGAACATGTAAAACCAAAGGAGCTAAGAAAATGAACATACACTCTGTCCACTGCCTGAGGCTTCGCAATTAAATCCAGCACTATGCTGTTCTCAGGGAATAATAGGCCCAAGATGGCTAACCTACAGAGCTGGTAGACAACAGGCTTGAGCAGGGCTCATTTGCATCCTGCTTTTCCTTTGCAAAGCCTGGAATAACTTACCTAAGCTTCCAGGACCCTCCCTGTCAGGGAGTCATCAGGGCCACACCTACATAGCTTTGACAATCCCAGATAAAACACTTATAGCTTTCAAGAAGTGAGTATGAAATTGATTCTTCAACAACCAAGTAACAACTAACTATGGTATCCATGGAGAAAATTGGGACTATACTGAAAGAAAGAGAAAATGTAGTGGACAGTTGGGGAAATGTATGTAAATGGCCGCTATTTTGCTCTGAGAAACTAAGAAAATGTTGTTGTTGTTGTTGACTAGAATCCACTTGATCAGATATGTGGACTGTTATTCTTGGTTGGCAGGTATACATACCTACAGCTTGAGTTACTTTGTTCTGACGCTGAAGTTCAGTTACACTGCAACTTCCAAAACCAGAATTACTATGAATAGAGAATAACACATCAATTTACAGTCCTCTTTTCTGAATTAAAATATTCATCCTCATGTTGGAATAAGAATACACAATGGATTCTAAATAATAATTTAATGTTTATTGTAGACGTTAACTATTACTACTTGAATCTAACGTTTCACATTGGCTGGATTCACACTTTTATTTTAGGCTGCAACGCTAAGCACATTTACTAGCGAATAAATCCTACCGGACACAGTACGATTTGCTTCTGGATAAACATGCACAGGATTGTGCTGTATATGTCCAAGAGTTAGTTTAAGGTGGCTCTTCCTCATTATTCTTTTTTTCATCTTTAAATGAAGCCCCATGCAAAGAGCTAAGGTTTAACACATGGCGGAAAAAGATTTGGGAAACCATACAAAGTGGATTATTTTGAGTATTATAACGCAATCCTAAAAGCAGCCGAGGAACAGCAGGACAGAGCAGTGTGTTGCACTCATGCCAGCCTGGTGGAAGGGGGAATATTTTTTCTTGGAGGGGGAGTTACTGCTCAGCTGAGGGGGCTGAGCACTGGACCACTCAGGGAACCTGCAGCCTCTGGCACCCTGCCTCCACCCCATTTTGGAGCTTACCACTAGCGACTGCCAATGAGAAAAACCACCAGTGCTACTCTGTAGGACAAAGATGTGGTGCTCCCTTCGGCTGTCAGAAAGAAACCTGCACACCACCCAACCCCCAGCGAATGGAGAAGAGGATGCAGAGGCTTCTTGGAGACCCAGGGAGACTTTCTGGGCTGCCTTTGTGCCCATCGCCGCACATGGGGAACACCCAATCTAAGTTATTCAGCTTAACTTACAAATTGTATTGAGGATAGCTTTGTGATACAGAAAGCTTTGATAGTCTACAGCATGGGTAGGCAAACTAAGGCCCAGGGGCTGGATCCGGCCCAATCGCCTTCTCAATCCGGCCCTCAGACGGTCCAGGAATCACCGTGTTTTCACATGAGTAGAATGTGTCCTTTTATTTAAAATGCATCTCTGGGTTATTTGTGGGGCATAGGAATTCGTTCATCCCCCCCCCCCAAAAAAAAGTCCGGCCCCCCCACAAGGTCTGAGGGACAGTGGACCATCCCCCTGCTGAAAAAGTTTGCTGACCCCTGGTCTACAGCTGTTGGGGTTATTTGAACTGTGCACTTGATATTTGTACATTTTTTAAAAACACCAATGTTTTAGACTTCAATGCAGCCCATTAAATACTGGGGAAAGTTTCTTATAGGAAACCTTTTGCATTTGTCTCCCCTGAAAAGACACTTTTCTTGCTTTTTCTGTTTTTACCTCAGGTTTATAGAGCATTAAATCTGTAGGAGGAAGTTCAATAAGACATAATCATCTTTACGGCAAATTTACAAGCCATATTTAATTTCACAACTTTATCTGCTCTGCTTTGTCTGGTAGTGCATGCTGGTAGAATAGACCCTGCCTTCTTGAGATAAACCCTGTCAGACTTGGATGAATCACCAAGTTTGGGTTTTTAAGGAGCAGATGGATCATTGTGCAAAGGAATACAGTGTGGCTGGCTTCTTGCTTCAGTCATAATTTATATTGCATTTCAAACTCTACAAGGTAAATGAATAAAAATGGAAATCTTTGTTGTACCAGCTGTTTTTCATGGGATGCTACTGTTTGAAACTTGCATATGTAGTATTATATTTGCATCCTATGTCAGTAGGGATCCATAAAACTAGGCCTTTGGTTTGAACAAGGAAAACGTGTCAAGGTGAGTATTGACTGTTTGCCACGGGGTATTGATGGTGATTGTACTTAACACTTATATTAGTTCAGTCGCTGCAGTAAAGAAAGCCTTTTGTCCTGTGTGTCATTTATTCCCCTGTTACCCCCTTAAGCTGTAATATAGGCAACTCTCACCCTGTGCTTAATAGGACTGACAAAAATCTCCTACTGCTGATATCTGTGTCATTCCATTAACTGAAAATGAGACATGATTGATAGTCAGACAAGTTTCATTTCCCAGTGTACTTTGTACATAGCAGGCATTTCCTACGTGACATTCCAGGTCTCCTTTGGTGAAGGGAATAATAGCTTCAGAGTCATTCCCATGCCAATCCAAAATGACCAACATAATAGGGTGCAACACTGCTGAGAACCATGTTGTGCAAGTAGAATGTACAAGTTTAGTAGAAAATATGGCGCAGGGCTGGATTTCCATCTTGGCTTTTTCATTCTGGCGGCTCCAATGATATGAAGTCATCCAAAACATAACCTGGGGCATAATGTTGCCTAAAACCTTCTGGTTTGTTTAGAAGGTTGATTTAAAACTGTATTTTTGGAGTGAACATGGATCCCCAAAAAAAAGCTGCTCCGTGAAAATAAAGGCTTGAGATTTGGTGCAAGAAAAAAAAGAGTGCATTGATTTAAAAAAAAGGAATGGCTTCCTCTCAGACAGCAGCACAAACACTTTATTCAGGGCAATACACACATAAATTTGGTTTATTTGTTGGCATTTAAAAGGGGCACATGGAAGTGTCGTTTCACATACAATGTTTTCTGTGCACATTCTCCACCCCCCTCCCAAAAGCCACAAATGTTGCGGTTCTAGAAATGTGAACAAGATTGGCTAAGGCTGAGGGGGGAGGGGAAAATCATCTGATTTATTGCTTGTGACATCGGTATGTGGTATAATGCTCTCCTGGAAACAAAATAGTTACACCTGAGGACAGTGATATAAACTCTACTTTGATTATTTGAAACAAACCATTAGGCTTTGATGAAAGAACTGCAGCAGGAGTAAACCGTGTAGAGAGTGGGCTTTTTAAGATAATGAATGAGCAGCCTTCAGGTGGCTTGTGTGGATTTTAAGAGTCACCTGTTTTCTCTGAACTTCATACAGCAAATAGATTTAGAACATGAGTAACACTAGCTAACACAGCTCAAAAAACACTGTTCAAAGTAAACTTTTGGTACATCGACAATACTCTTTACAATTAATGGTGGCTATATATCTGCTCTTTGGAATATTGCCACCTCTTGGTTATAGGCAGAGTCTCCTTCCTCTGAACTATGTGATTATTTGGTGGAGGGGTGTCTCCAAACTCAGACCAACCCACCTCTGCTACAGGCAACAGAGATCTTGTGAAACTCATGGTAGAAAGAGCTACAGTTGTTTTTAAAAAGACGTTTGTATTAAGAAAGCAAGACTTCCTTCTCCCAACATCACAGATTTGGGAGTAGCCACTAGTCACCTTGGATTATTTATACGTCACTCTACCACAGTGAATTGTGCCCCAAGCGGCTCGTGGTAAGCATCTGATTCTCTGGGAGTCTGTGCTTTTCCGTTACCTTCTCCTCTCTGGTGATCTGTGATTATTTGTCCTGCCCTCCACCAGGATTAATCCTCTCTATGAGTCTGTTTGTTTCCACACCTTTCTTTCTGGGGGTCTGTGTTATTTCGCCCTCCTTCTAGATAGCTGCCTTGCCTGATCACCTTCCTTCCAGAAATACAGACACAGCATGGAGAACTTGTGGACAGCCAGCCAGCCATGTAGGGCTCCCAGCAATTTGTGACTTAGCATGCCTCCCAAGAACCACAGTAGCCATTAGATGACTAGCAAAATTCCCTACAGCAAACAAACAAACAAACAAACAAGTTCCAAATGTTCCCATGGGCCCTGAAAGTTTAGGGACTCCTGCTCTTCCACTCATGTAAGGTGGGGGATGACTTCTACCAAGTAACTCCTCCATCTGCAGCCCCACACAACATATACCCCACAAGTCTCCCAAGTAAGATCCATTGGGGGTGCAGGTGGGGGAAAACTGTTCCATTTGTATACTTTGTCTTCTGGTCACAGAATCAAACTCAGGATCCAAGCCAATATATTTACCCATGACCCTCAAATACTGGTTTTCAAGTTTCCAGTCAACATTGTTTTCTTCTTCCCACAGCACAGGCAGTGGAGAAATAAGTAACAGGATGCTACCAAGATTTCACATGAGATTGGTATATAAATCCTTTCATTTAGCAAAATTTTAGGTACTCTATAGATAACCCAGAGATTTCACGCTGTCTTCATGGAGAGATGAGAAGAGGATTTCAGCATAATCTTTAATTCATCCTTCGCTACCTTTTCTTCTCTCCCCATCTGCAATATTCTCCAATTCTGTATATGGTACACTGCACAAGATGTGACACAGGAAGGTGTTCAGGGAAATAAAAGAGTGTCCAAATATGACTGGGATGAATGCATTGCTGGGGAGTATCTGTGAGAATATCCTAGATTGTTGCCAAATGTTGGATAGAATTCTGTATATCAAAGTTTTCGTGCAGAAGTTTTCATAACTGCTCCATTACTTTACACCGTTCTGATCTTGGCTAAAGAAGACAGACTATTAGGCTTAGGCGAAGGCAGAGAAAACCTCCATACATGAAACTCATCAGTGTCAGAATTCACTTTCAAAAGAGCTGCACCTAAGCCATGCCCTCAACAGGTCTGGTGTTCATTTTTTCCAATAAGCAGAGATAGAAAATGGCTGGGGAAAATACTGAAAATAATATAAACTCTGAATTTGTTCCATTTTTACCTTCTTCAAGTGGGTAAGGATGGTTCCGAAAAGAAGTAAGTGAGGAAAGTATTGAAGCTTTTGTCAGCTCTCTCATTCTTGAAAGCACTTTGCAATTTTATTTTATTTTTGCAGAGAAGCAATCTGACATTGAACCTATTGGCAGGATCTGTTTTCTTCAGCAAACATTCAGGCACTTGCTTCTCAATTCAACATATTCCCTTTTATGTTGCTCAATACTACCACCCACTTCAAACATCCAGAAATATGTCGAACACAAACAAATTGGGAACAAGTGTAAATTTTACTCTCAGAAGGAAAGAAAATAGTAAAAAGTGTATTGTTTGTGTGTTTGTTCTTACATAGCACCACTAGAGTACATAGTACTTTATCACTTTGTAGAGATGTAAACGCGGTAAGTATCTGCTACAAAAAAATATACAATATAAATTTTGTGAGTATGGGGGGGCCCTTCGAGTTGTTGTCCACACCAAACATTTAGACTTATTATAATAAAGAATGATCACAGACTTAGAACTGAGTCTGCAGAATCACAGAAGGGATCACCACTGTCCTTGTTTCCCTTCACACTTATCTTACAAGTGTCAAATCTTAATTTCTTTAACTGTCCATTGTATTATTTTCAGATAAAGAGAAGATTGGTGGGCAAGGAACTCTGGGGAAATTTCTGGTTGGTTGGTTTTCAATGTGCCAATCAGAATCACATTTTTCTAAGCTACTTCCTTGGCTCGTGGAACACCCATGAAAAACTTATCTGTTGTTACATTTCATCCAGAACCCGGTAAATGTTTTGTTTCTTTCCCAACCATGGTCTGGCTGAGGTTGTGAGTTCCTAGTCGGAATGGTGGGTATAAAAGACTGCAGACAACCTTCAACAATACATTTTGCAAAGACCTTCCTGTGAAGAGATAAAGGGGGTCATTTAAAGGTCCTTGATAATGTGTTGCCATTAAGCTTGGACATTTGCTGAAGTAAGGGTGCAGTTTGCATTTGAAGCGATATTAATGAAAATGAGCATTTTGTATATTATGAAAATATTGGAATTTTTATGCTCAATAGAAATGGAAAGAACAGGTTCTGGGCTGGTCATCTGATGATCTAATTAACTAATTAAACAGCATTTTGCAGGGTCACTTCAATCCTCAGCATCTTATGTGCATGGTTGTTGTTTTTTCAGTTTCTTCAGTCATTCCAATAGGGATGGAACAGACCTCAAAAATCTATTTTAGCCTAGATTTAGGGTGGGAATTTAGGGCATGAAAATAGCAAATTCTAGCCTCATTGTGGCTGAAGAATTCCTGGTACATACAGTAGACGATAACTTCCATTAAAATGCTATGAATTTTTTCAGCATTGTCACAGTATATTTGACCCCAACTATCAATGGAAGTTAATTCTAGACATGTTTGCACCGTTGCCTTAATTTTTTGCTAGGTGCTGCCCTTTCAGCATTCAGTTTATACCGCAATATTTTAAAACCTAACTCTTTCACGCATGAACATGCATGCTAACATGAATTGAAAGGCTTCCCCCACCCGCTAACTCACAAAGAAATAAGCATTTTCTGCTACTTCCCAGCTCACCATGTGGAAGACCAATGCTCAGTCACCGGCTGAAGGACTTATATGGCTAACAATCTGTCACTAAATAGTGATTAATTTTCTGCCACCAAACTCATACATGTTAGGATTACTCCCCAATGTTCAGTTTAATTTAAGTACTTTCTGATTCATGAACAAGGGGAATAACATACAGCTATAAAGAGGTAATCCAATCCTAGAATGGCCTTAACCCCTATAATCTGCACTTCAATGGCAAGGGAAACTGTATAGTTTTCAAACTGTAATCAAGATTTTTTTTTCCAGGCACACACTGGAGCTGTCCTTTGCTCCCATCACTTATTAGATTACAATAAAACGACCATGCTCTCTTTATGGTGGGAACAGAGCGACCCTGGGGTGATTTATAATCTTGTGAAACCCTGTCCACACTGCTGACCAGACTTTCTTTCTTTTTTTTAGGTCGCTATCTGTTTCTTCAACTGATGTCTTCCTGCTGTGACAACACTGTTGGATAGCTGTCAGCAGACAAGTATTTCTCAGGCTACGCATTATCTCTGGGCACATTTCTTGTGCGTTTTTCCCCCATTGAAAAGCGTTTATGTGCTTGGTGTTTAGACAGCAAAGGACCATTGTAAACCATTCTCATTAGTTTGGGGACTGACAAAAGAAGCTAAACTAAATAGAAGAAGAATGAATTGGATTGCCTTGCAACAAAAAGAACAAACACATTGTCTTCTAAGCATCTGATCAAATCACTGGCTTGCTGCACACCAAGTTTCTATTTTTTTTATATAAATATATAGGCCAACATATTGCTGCGGTTATACACACTCCCAAACTATGCAGTTACTACAAAACTCCCAAATACTGTTTATCCAATACCTGCCTTTTTAAACATGTAAATTGAAAAAAAAAATGTTTATACATATACACAGAGAGTTCTGTCATAGTCACCTCTAGGTGTTCTCAAATACTGCAGGCATCTGTTTAGGTACCCTATTGGCCCAAATAAAGAAGCACAACACTTTAAATTATTTTAAGGTCATTCACTGCTGCCATCCAACTAGGATACTACATTATATAAAGAAAAGAGCTTCTCCATATATTCCCAAGGCAACATCATACACTTTCCAGTTCAAATACTAAAGATTATGTTATAGAAAGAAAAACACTCTCTCTCTCTCTCTCTCTCTCTCTCTCTCTCTCTGTGTGTGTGTGTGTAGTCACACACACATTTCCACTTCAATCTTTTAGTTGCCCGTGATTTCTGGGGCTAGATTTATACATAGAATTACTTCTCTTCTTCTTCTTTTTAATCAACACGACCCTTCTTCCCAAGGTCAGGAATGCACAGAGAAGCCTCAGTGTAAATGTTCTGCATAGAGATAAAGCCAGCAGCATTTTGCAAGCAACTTTCACGATCGCCAAAGTACTGCTGAGCACAAGGTACCCATGTGCACCTTGATTCACAGAGCCGAACGAAACAAGACAAGAGACAGCCTACCTCTTTAAATATCGGTCTGATGGGGCTCAGGGTCCAATTTTAAGAGCAACATAACCCTGTGCAGTCTGTTTCTCTGCAGATGAATTTCCCCAAGGGACTTCATCTGGGACAAAAAGTACCGGGGGAATAGAATGCATGGAGGTAAGCCACAAGAAGGTGGAACTACTTTTTACCTGCACACCCCTTTTGTTCTCAAAACTTGACGACCTGACCCCACCTTATAAATATTTTTGGCTGAGTCACATTTTGGTATCACTTCTGGTTTAACCTACAGTTCTGCAGATAAAAATGCATTACTTTGCTAGCAAGGGTTATAAAGCTAAACACCCCCAAACCCACCTCCACACAGACAACCCTCTTCTTCTTCTTCTGGAGCTATCCAGGGTTCCATCTTCAAGAATGCCGATGCTAGCTGTAATTAACTTCAAACCAAAGCGTGAAGCTATGCTTTGAATAGGGCCTGAAACTATGGTGAAGGTGTAACAAAGCACCAGAAATGTCAAGTGGTCTTCCTAGTGGAAGACTAGGAGCATTATAGGTGCCATCAGCAGCTTAGATTTCTTGATATAATCCTGTCCCACCAACGTGCAGAAAAAGTAGCCACTGTATCATTTCTAAGACCATATGTTAGATTGCAAAATATCACAGAATGATTTTAGCCAGTAGCCCTTAGGTGATAAGAGTGGGGGGGAAGCCCACTAGCTCTAGCCTTCACCCCCGTGACCCTACCCAAGTTGGAGGGTAGCTTCTGAACCTGGAAGGCTTTTCTGTTCATAAAGGCTCCCCATGCGATTTAGAATCTCCTACAAGATTCTAAATTGCACTGGGAGCCCACACAAGTAGAGTAGGCTTCCAACTCATGGAAAGCAATGGTGATGGAGCTTTTGTGGGGTGGAGGACAGGAGGTCAAAGCTAGCACCTCATCTCCTCTCTCCAGCATGAGCTTTATGCACTCTAACTAACAAGGTAATGTGCCTTTTAAGTAACAAGGTAGTAAAACAAATACATTTCAGCCTCTGCAATTTACCCTAAAGAATTTGCATCATGTATTTAGAAATATGGCTTAGAACTGGTTCTGCAACGCACAACAGTTTAGTTGCTTGCGTCTCTGCACCCTTCACAAGTTCGGTAGAAGAAATACGACATTCAAGTTTCCCAGATTTCCATCTAATGTTCAGAACTTAAGTAGGCTATTCTTTACTGTCTTACTCATCATTACAAGCTGTTTCAAAAAGGTGGAAAAGTATTTCCTTTCATGAAGAAAAGGGCAATTGATAATCACAGTAAATAAGTCAGACTGTCCTTTGCTCTCAAGGAGTCAACCTACTGTTTTGCTCCTCTAAGGACTTGTTTAATAGGATGAGCAAAATCTCAGGGAAAACTATCAATTAGAGCAGTAAAATCTCCCTGAGGATACTGTTACCTCAACCGTTTATACATTTCTTCAGTGACTTCTTCAACCTTTCTCCAAGTAACACATACACTGAGATCACAGTTTGGTAAGGAATATATGGCACGGAATCAGAGAAAGTTTTTAAGTACCTCGAATGGGCCCTTCCTGTTTTCTTCTTTTACAAACTATATAGCATAGATACTGGAATGTACTAGGAACATGAAGGGTGAGGAACAGGTAATAAATCAGGTAATTAATACAGCAAATATGTAGTAAATATAGTTAAACAGTGGATGGATGGATTGATGGACAAATTAGGAATGATTAAATGGATGACCTCAGAGGAAAAGAAACACAAAGAATGGGCAAAATAGATTTTCGTGCATAAAATGCAATGTGTAGCTATTTATAAAGATAGATGATGGAAGATCCAGAAGCAATGAAGTGATCGAGAGCCGAGGGTTCACAGCTTGGTCAACAATAGGCACAGCACCCATTGCAGTCACTATCCAATAACATGCACAGTGGCATGAAACTCTGTGCATGTAGTGCATCCAGCAGGAGCCCACAAATATTTGCTGGGACTCAGTCTCAACCTTTGGCTTGCCAGCAGGACCTTGTCTCTCCACATTGGATGAGGCTTTCCTGTGCCGCAATATAGGACTGTATCAGTGATAATCCCCTGCTTCCTTACCCAGCTCCTGGCTGGGGTGTAATGGGATCAATTATGCAATCCTGCTGTGCTTCCAAGGTAATTAAAGCACCTCAGAGAAGCAGCACAAGAATATCCAGTACCTTCAATGCATGTGAAGCCTTTACACATTGCTGGCCATTGACAAATGTACCAGAAGGACTACGATGTTTGGACAAAGGAAGTCATTTAGGTCAAAGATCTCGAACAGAGGTCCTACACACCTGCAGCATAAGTTTTGATCAAGAACTTGCCTGAAAAGCATTTCCCTCTGCTCTGGCACACAGTGCTCTGAATTACGCAGGTTGACCTTGGAGAGCTACTGGTGGGTTGGCAAATTATGGATTTAAATGGCATTCCCTTCTGTGATGTAGCCATATCTTCAGATACGATCAGCTTACAGTTAAACATTTAAATAATATAATTTTTTTGTGTAAGCATATATTCACTGGGAGGGATGTGGGTGGCCACAGAGCCTAGGACTTGCCGATCAGAAGGTTGGCGGTTCGAATCCCTGCAACAGGGTGAGCTCCCGTTGTTCGGTCCCTGCTTCTGCCAACCTAGCAGTTCGAAAGCACATCAAAGTGCAAATAGATAAATAGGTACCGCTCCGGCGGGAAGGTAAACGGTGTTTCCGTGCGCTGCTCTGGTTCGCCAGAAGCAGCTTAGTCATGCTGGCCACATGACCCGGAAGCTGTACGCGGGCTCCCTGGGCCAATAAAGCGAGATGAGCGCCGCAACCCCAGAGTCGGCCACAACTGGACTTAATGGTCAGGGGTCCCTTTATCTTTACCTATATACACTGGGAAAGAATATTTACAAAATACAGTGGTACCTCGGGTTACATATGCTTCAG